TCACCACGTCCGGTCCTTTTTTTTTTTTTTTTTGAGACGGAGTCTCCCCCTTTTGCCCAGGTTTGCATAGAGAATGCGTCATCTTCGCTCATGCAAGCTCCCGCCTCCCAGGCTCCAGGCGTTCTCCTGCCTCAGCCACCTGAGTATGCTGGGGTTTACAGGTGCCTTACCACCTACGCCCACTTCTAAGGTTTGGAGTTTAGTGAGATTTCACCATGCTTGTCCAGGCTGGTCTCACACTCTGACCTCAGGTGATCCCCCACCTTGGCCTCCCAAAGTGTTGGGATTTAACAAGCATGAGCTGCCACAGCTGGCCTATTTTCCTGTTTTTAAAATAAAGAATCCTCATGCCTGGGGGAACGTTGCCTCAACGCCTGTTATCTCTGCACTTTTGGGATGCCAAGGTGGGAAGATTGCTTGTAGCCAGGACTTTGAACCAGCCGAGCCTGGCCAATATGAGTGAGACCTCTTGCCTCTGCAAAAATATACCAAATTAAGCCGGCATGGTGTGTGCTCCCGGCCAGGTCCCTAGCTACTCCGAGGGCTGGTGGGAGGATCCTCTTGAGCACTGGGAGGTTGTGGCTGCAAGTGTAGGCTGAGAGCACCACTGACCTTCAGCCTTGCACGACAGAGCAAGACCCTAACCTCAAAAAAAAAAAAAAGGGTGGGCCAAAGTGTTGTGACGTCAGGTCTGTAGTCCTCAGCAACTTTGGTAGCTTGAGGCAAGCTGGATTCTCTTGAACCCAGGAGATTCCAGAACCAGCAACATGGGCAAACCCATCTCTACTAAAAAATACATAAAGTTAGCTGGTGGTTGTGTTAGAGCACAAACTTAAGGAGATTGTGTATATATAAAACATAATATAGGTCACAGATACAATATATGTGATTTGCAAATAGTTTTTCCCATTCTGTGAGTTGTGTTCACTTTCTGTTTTTAATGTTGTTGAAGCCCAATTTATTATTTTTTCTTTTGTTGCTTGTGCTTTTGGTATCATATTTAAGAAACCATCACCAAATCCAAGGTCAGGGAGATTTCCCCTATGTCTTTTCTGATAGTTTGAGCTCTTTATATTTAGGTCTTTGATCCACATTGAGTTAATTTTTATATGTAGCATGAGGGAACAGTCCAACTTCATTCTTTTGCATGTGGGCATCTAGTTGTCCCAGTATCATTTGTTGAAGAGAATATTCTTTCCCCGTTGAATGGTTTTGGCATCTGTGTCAAATCAATTGACCGTACATGTAGGGGGTTATTTATGGATTTTTATTTCTATTCCATTCATCTATTCTTATGCCAAGTCCACACAATTGGGAGGTATGAGTCCTCCAACTTGGTTATTTTTCAATATTGTTTTAGCTACTCATGGTCCTTGCACTTCCATAGGAATTTTAGGATCAGTTTGCCCATTTCTGCAAGAAAAGCCATCGGGCTTTTGATAGGGACAGTACTGAATCTCCAGTTTGCTTTGGGGAATGTTGCCATCTTAACAGTATTAAGCCTTCTAATCCATAATCATGGTATATCTTTTAATTTATTTAGATTTTTAATTCTTTCAGGAATGTTTTATAGTTTTCAGTGTATAAATCTTACATTTTCTTAGTTTTTTGTTTTGTTTTGTTTTGTTTTGTTTGATATAGGGTCTTGCTCCAGCAGCCAGGCTGGAGTGCAATGATGTGATCGTAGCTCACTGCAGCCTCAAATCCTGGGCTCAAGCAATCCTCCAACCTCAGCCTCCCAAGTAGCTGGTACTACTACAGGTGCACGGCATCATAACCGGCTAATTTTTCTTTGTTGTTGTTGTTTTGAGACGGAGTCTTGCTCTGTCACCCAGGCTGGAGTGCAGTAGCACGATCTCAACTCACTGCAAACTCCGCCTCCGAGGTTCAGGCAGTTCTCTGCCTAGCTTCCCGAGTAGCTGGGATTATAGGCCCCTGCCACCACGCCCAGCTAATTTTTTGTATTTTTAATAGAGGCAGGGTTTCATCATCTTGGCCAGGCTGGTCTTGAACTCCTGACCTCGTGATCCACGCACCTCAGCCTCTCAAAGTGCTGGGATTACAGGTGTGAACCACTGTACCCGGATGTTAAATTTATTCCTAATTATTCTTTTTTGTGCTATTGTAGATGCAATTGTTTTTAAAACTTCTTTTATGAATTATTAATTGTGAGTGTTTAGAAATACAGATGATACACCAGGTGTGGGATCCCAGCACTCTGGAAGGCTGAGGCGGGCAGACCACTTGAGGCCAGGAGTTTGAGACCAGCCTGGCCAACATGGTGAAACCTGTCTCTACTAAAAATACAAAAATTAGCTGGATGTGGTGGCACACACCTTAGCAAGCATGAGAATCACTTGAGCCCAGGAGGCAGAAGTTGCATTGAGTTGAGATCATGCCACTGCACTCTAGCCTGGATAACAGAGCCAGAGACTCTGTCTCCAAAAACAGCCTGCTTGGCCTCCCAAAGTGCTGGGATTACAGGTGTGAGTCACCACGTCCGGTCTTTTTTTTTTTTTTTTGAGACGGAGTCTCCCTCTTTTGCCCAGGTTGAAGAGCAATGGCGTCATCTTGGCTCACTGCAAGCTCCGCCTCCCAGGCTCAGGCAGTTCTCCTGCCTCAGCCACCTGAGTAGCTGGGGTTACAGGTGCCTACCACCACGCCCACCTAATTTTTGCAGTTTTAGTTGAGATTTCACCATGTTGTCCAGGCTGGTCTCACACTCCTGACCTCAGGTGATCCACCCACCTTGGCCTCCCAAAGTGTTGGGATTACAAGCATGAGCTGCCACAGCTGGCCTATACCTTGTTTTAAAATAAGAATCTCATGCTGGACGTGGTGGCTCACGCCTGTTATCTCTGCACTTTGGGAGGCCAAGGTGGGAAGATTGCTTGAGTCCAGGACTTTGACACCAGCCTGGCCAATATAGTGAGACTTTGCCTCTGCAAAAAATATACCAAATTAGCCAGGCATGGTGGTGTGCTCCCGCAGTCCTAGCTACTCACGAGGCTGGGGTGGGAGGATCTCTTGAGCCTGGGAGGTTGTGGCTGCAGTGAGCTGAGATGGCACCACTGACCTTCAGCCTGCACGACAGAGCAAGACCCTAACTCAAAAAAAAAAAAAAAAGGGGGGGGGCCAAGTGTGGTGACTCAGGTCTGTAGTCCCAGCACTTTGGGTAGCTGAGGCAGGCTGATCTCTTGAACCCAGGAGTTCCAGACCAGCAACATGGCAAAACCCCATCTCTACTAAAAATACATAAAAGTAGCTGGGCATGGTGATGTACACCTGTAGTCCCAGCTACCTGGGAGGCAGAGGTGGGAGGATCACCGTAGCTTAGGAGGTCGAGACTGCAGTGAGCCGTGATTGTGCCACTGCACTCCCACCTGGCTGACAGAGTGAGACCCTGTCAAAAACAAAAAAGCTCTCATAGCTTCACTTACATTTCAGGATTTTTCCTCCAATACATCTTTTCACATGCTCTAAAATTAAAATTCTTATTCTTGTTTAGATGTGATTGATTGTCCTTAGTTGCTGATTCTTTTTGCTTTAAAGAGCCATTTCAGAATTAGTGAACTTAAAATTTTTTCCTGGCTCCCTCTTCCACATTTCTACTTGTCTTGCATAAACTCCCCCTACCCTCCTCATATTTTTCTCCTTAAAACTGGACCTAGAAGA